GAGAATGGGTGAGTGAGTGTGTGGCTGGGTGGGTGAGTGGGTGAGTGGGAGAGTGAGTGGGTGAGTGGGTGAGTGGGAGAGTGAGTGGGTGGGTGAGTGAGTGGGTGAGTGGGAGAGTGGGTGGGTGGGTGAGTGGGTGGGTGGGTGAGTGGGTGTGTGAGTGGGTGAGTGGGTGAGTGAGTGGGTGGGTGAGTGAGTGGGTAAGTGGGTGAGTGGGTAAGTGGATGAGTGGGTGGGTGAGTGGGTGAGTGAGTGGGAGGGTGAGTGGGTGGGTGTGTGGGTGAGTGGGTGGGTGAGTGGGTTAGTGAGTGAGTGGGTGAGTGGGTGTGTGAGAGAGTGGGTGAGTGAGTGGGTGAGTGGGAGAGTGAGTGGGTGAGTGGGTGGGTGAGTGGGAGAGTGGGTGAGTGGGTGGGTGAGTGGGTGAGTGGGTGAGTGGGTGGATGGGTGAGTGGGTGGGTGAGTGAGTGGGTGAGTGGGTGGGTGGGTGAGTGAGTGGGTGAGTGGGTGAGTGGGTGGGTGAGTGGGAGAGTGAGTGGGTGAGTGGGTGGGTGAGTGGCTGGGTGGGTGAGTGAGTGGGTGAGTGTGTGGCTGAGTGGGTGAGTGGGTGGGTGGGTGAGTGAGTGGGTGAGTGGGTGAGTGAGTGGGAGAGTGGGTGGGTGAGTGGGTGAGTGGGTGGGTGGGTGAGTGAGTGGGTGAGTGGGTGAGTGAGTGAGTGGGTGAGTGGCTGGGTGGGTGTGTGGGGGGGTGAGTGGGTGGGTGAGTGAGTGGGTGAGTGGGTGAGTGAGTGGGAGAATGGGTGAGTGAGTGTGTGGGTGAGTGGGTGAGTGAGTGGGTGGGTGGGTGAGTGGGTGAGTGGGTGGGTGAGTGTGTGGGTGAGGGAGTGGGTGAGTGGGAGAGTGAGTGGGTGAGTGAGTGGGTGGGTGGGTGGGTGAGTGGGTGGGTGGGTGAGTGGGTGGGTGAGTGGGTGTGTGAGTGGGTGAGTGGGTGAGTGAGTGGGTGGGTGAGTGTGTGGGTGAGGGAGTGGGTGAGTGGGAGAGTGAGTGGGTGAGTGAGTGGGTGAGTGAGTGGGTGAGTGGGAGAGTGAGTGAGTGGGTGAGTGAGTGGGTGAGTGGGTGGGTGAGTGGGTGGGTGACTGGGTGGGTGGGTGAGTGGGTGAGTGAGTGGGTGAGTGGGTGGGTGAGTGGGTGAGTGAGTGGGTGAGTGGGTGTGTGAGAGAGTGGGTGAGTGAGTGGGTGAGTGAGTGAGTGGGTGAGTGGGTGTGTGAGAGTGGGTGAGTGAGTGGGTGAGTGGGAGAGTGAGTGGGTGGGTGAGTGAGTGGGTGAGTGGGTGAGTGAGTGGGTGGGTGGGTGAGTGAGTGGGTGGGTGGGTGAGTGAGTGGGAGAGTGGGTGGGTGAGTGGGTAAGTGAGTGGGTGAGTGGGTGGGTGAGTGGGTGGGTGAGTGGGTGGGTGAGTGGGTGGGTGGGTGGGTGAGTGGGTGGGTGGGTGAGTGGGTGAGTGGATGAGTGGGTGGGTGAGTGGGTGAGTGGATGAGTGGGTGGGTGAGTGGGAGAGTGAGTGAGTGGGTGGGTGAGTGGGTGAGTGGGTAAGTGAGTGGGTGAGTGGGTGGGTGAGTGGGTGAGTGAGTGGGTGTGTGAGAGAGTGGGTGGGTGAGTGGGTGAGTGAGTGGGTGAGTGGGTGTGTGAGAGAGTGGGTGAGTGAGTGAGTGGGTGAGTGGGTGAGTGAGTGGGTGGGTGAGTGAGTGGGTGAGTGAGAGAGTGGGTGGGTGAGTGGGTGGGTGGGTGAGTGAGTGGGAGAGTGGGTGGGTGAGTGGGTGAGTGAGTGGGTGAGTGGGTGGGTGAGTGGGTGGGTGCGAGTGAGTGGGTGGCTGAGTGGGTGAGTGAGTGGGTGAGTGAGTGGGTGAGTGAGTGGGTGAGTGAGTGGGTGAGTGGGTAAGTGGGTGGGTGAGTGGGTGGGTGAGTGGGTGGGTGAGTGGGTGAGTGGGTGAGTGAGTGAGTGGGTGAGTGAGTGGGTGAGTGAGTGGGTGGGTGAGTGAGTGGGTGAGTGAGTGTGTGGGTGAGGGAGTTGGCGAGTGTGTGGGTGAGGGAGTTGGCGAGTGTGTGGGTGAGTGAGTGAGTGGGTGAGTGAGTGGGTGAGTGAGTGAGTGGGTGAGTGGGTGGGTGAGTGGGTGGGTGAGTGAGTGGGTGAGTGGGTGAGTGAGTGGGAGAATGGGTGAGTGTGTGGCTGGGTGGGTGAGTGGGTGAGTGGGAGAGTGAGTGGGTGAGTGGGGTGAGTGGGAGAGTGAGTGGGTGGATGAGTGAGTGGGTGAGTGGGAGAGTGGGTGGGTGGGTGAGTGGGTGGGTGGGTGAGTGGGTGTGTGAGTGGGTGAGTGGGTGAGTGAGTGGGTGGGTGAGTGAGTGGGTAAGTGGGTGAGTGGGTAAGTGGATGAGTGGGTGGGTGAGTGTGTGTGTGAGTGGGTGGGTGAGTGGGTGGGTGTGTGGGTGAGTGGGTGGGTGAGTGGGTTAGTGAGTGAGTGGGTGAGTGGGTGTGTGAGAGAGTGGGTGAGTGAGTGGGTGAGTGGGAGAGTGAGTGGGTGAGTGGGTGGGTGAGTGGGAGAGTGGGTGAGTGGGTGGGTGAGTGGGTGAGTGGGTGAGTGGGTGAGTGGGTGGATGGGTGAGTGGGTGGGTGAGTGAGTGGGTGAGTGGGTGGGTGGGTGAGTGAGTGGGTGAGTGAGTGGGTGAGTGGGTGGGTGAGTGGGAGAGTGAGTGGGTGAGTGGGTGGGTGAGTGGCTGGGTGGGTGAGTGAGTGGGTGAGTGTGTGGCTGAGTGGGTGAGTGGGTGGGTGGGTGAGTGAGTGGGTGAGTGGGTGAGTGAGTGGGAGAGTGGGTGGGTGAGTGGGTGAGTGGCTGGGTGGGTGAGTGAGTGGGTGAGTGGGTGAGTGAGTGAGTGGGTGAGTGGCTGGGTGGGTGAGTGGGTGGGTGAGTGGGTGGGTGAGTGAGTGGGTGAGTGGGTGAGTGAGTGGGTGAATGGGTGAGTGAGTGTGTGGGTGAGTGGGTGAGTGAGTGGGTGGGTGGGTGAGTGGGTGAGTGGGTGGGTGAGTGTGTGGGTGAGGGAGTGGGTGAGTGAGAGAGTGAGTGGGTGAGTGAGTGGGTGGGTGGGTGGGTGAGTGGGTGGGTGGGTGAGTGGGTGGGTGAGTGGGTGTGTGAGTGGGTGAGTGGGTGAGTGAGTGGGTGGGTGAGTGTGTGGGTGAGGGAGTGGGTGAGTGGGAGAGTGAGTGGGTGAGTGAGTGGGTGAGTGAGTGGGTGAGTGGGAGAGTGAGTGAGTGGGTGAGTGAGTGGGTGAGTGGGTGGGTGAGTGGGTGGGTGAGTGGGTGGGTGAGTGGGTGGGTGAGTGGGAGAGTGAGTGGGTGAGTGAGTGAGTGTGTGAGTGGGTGGGTGAGTGGGAGATTTAGTGGGTGAGTGGGTGGGTGGGTGAGTGGGTGGGTGGGTGAGTGGGTGGGTGGGTGGGTGAGTGGGTGGGTGTGTGGGTGAGTGGGTGGGTGAGTGGGTGGGTGAGTGGGTGGGTGAGTGGGTGGGTGAGTGGGTGGGTGAGTGGGAGAGTGAGTGGGTGAGTGAGTGGGTGAGTGGGTGGGTGAGTGGGAGATTTAGTGGGTGAGTGGGTGGGTGAGTGGGTGGGTGAGTGGGAGATTGAGTGGGTGAGTGAGTGGGTGGGTGAGTGAGTGGGTGGGTGGGTGGCTGGGTGGGTGAGTGAGTGGGTGGGTGAGTGGGTGAGTGAGTGGGTGAGTGGGTAAGTGGGTGAGTGAGTGGGTGAGTGAGTGGGTGAGTGTGTGGCTGAGTGGGTGGGTGAGTGGGTGGGTGAGTGAGTGGGTGAGTGGGTGGGTGAGTGAGTGAGTGGGTGAGTGAGTGTGTGGGTGAGTGTGTGGCTGAGTGGGTGGATGAGTGGGTGGGTGAGTGAGTGGGTGAGTGAGTGGGTGAGTGGGAGAGTGAGTGGGTGAGTGGGAGAGTGGGTGGGTGAGTGGGTGAGTGAGTGAGTGGGTGAGTGGGTGAGTGGGTGGGTGAGTGGGTGAGTGGGTGGGTGAGTGGGTGGGTGAGTGGGTGGGTGGGTGAGTGGGTGGGTGGGTGGGTGAGTGAGTGGGTGAGTGAGTGGGTGAGTGGGTGGGTGAGTGAGTGGGTGGGTGAGTGGGGTGGGTGAGTGGGTGAGTGAGTGGGTGGGTGGGTGAGTGGGTGTGTGAGTGGGTGTGTGAGTGGGTGAGTGAGTGGGTGAGTATGTGGGTGAGTGAGTGGGTGAGTGGGTGAGTGTGTGGGTGAGTGAATGAGTGGGTGGGTGAGTGGGTGACTGAGTGAGTGGGTGGGTGAGTGAGTGAGTGGGTGAGGGAGTTGGTGAGTGTGTGGGTGAGTGAGTGAGTGTGTGAGTGGGTGAGGGAGTGAGTGGGTGAGTGTGCGTGTGAGTGAGTGAGTGGGTGAATGAGTGAGTGGGTGGGTGAGTGGGTGGGTGAGTGGGTGAGTGAGTGGGTGAGTGGGTGAGTGGTGAGTGAGTGGGTGAGTGATTGAGTGTGTGAGTGGGTGAGTGAGTGATTGGGTGAGTAAGTGGGTGAGTGGGTGTGTGGGTGAGTGGGTGAGTGAGTGGGTGAGTTAGTGAGTGAGTGAGTGGGTGAGTGAGTGGGTGAGGGAGTGAGTGGGTGAGGGAGTGGGTGAGGGAGTGGGTGAGTGGGTGAGTGAGTGGGTGAGTGGGTGAGGGAGTGGGTGAGTGGGTGGGTGAGTGGGTGAGGGAGTGGGTGAGGGAGTGAGTGGGTGAGTGGGTGGGTGAGGGAGTGAGTGGGTGGGTGAGAGAGTGGGTGAGTGGGTGAGTTAGTGAGTGAATGGGTGGGTGAGTGGGTGGGTGAGTGTGTGGGTGAGTGAGTGGGTGCACGTAGCCTGGCACAAGCGTCGTGGTGACGTCACCGCCACTTAGTGGCGAATGGCGGTTGTTGTTGTTGTGGGTGGGTGGGTGAGTGAGTGAGTCACCCACCCACAGCTCTCCGCTCACCTTCAACACGGCAGCGAACTCACGCAGCCTGCAAGCTTCTCCCGACAGATCACTCCTCAAATGACCCAACACGACCCGACGAGGACCGTAGTAAGATGGCCGCCTTGAAGCCACCAAACAACATCGCCGCCATCTTACTGCTGCCGTGAAGGGGAGGGGGGGCATCGAGCCTCCCCATAGGTCGGCCGTAGTAAGATGGCCGCTTTGAAGCCAGCAAGTTCCTTCACCGCCATCTTACTACCGCTGAAGGAACTGATTGGCCGATCTCCGTCACGTGAGGAAGGAGGGAGGAGTCGGGGGGTACCTCCAGGCCTCCCCATTGGTCGGAATTCGTTAGACGGCCTTCCTGAAGCCATCAACGTTCGCTTTCGTCAGCTGACGTCTCACCCACCCTTCTGATTGGTCGAGGCGTTGGCAGGCGAGCACGGTGTAGGCCTCCCCATTGGTCGCCATCTTACTACTGCCGAGTCTTTTGATTGGCAGAAGTCCTGTCACGTGGGACGGGTCCCATCGTTCTCAATGGTCAGCAGCGGCGAGGTGACCTGAGGCCAACCAGCTTTACACAGGCGCCATTTTGCTACAGCCGGGGCTTCTCATTGGCAGAATAGCATCACGTGGGAGGAGGAGCCGGGGTGGAAAGGTTGTTGAATTCAAGTCTCTTCATTGGCCAAGCCGCATCACGTGGGATAACAGGGAGGAGGGGCGTAGACGTTGATGGAGGGGTGTTGTTGAATCCGAGGCTCGTCATTGGTCAAGTCGAATCACGTGGGGCGTCAAGCGGGAGGAGGCGGGGTTGGGGGGGTTGTCGAATGCGATTCTCCTCATTGGCCAAGTCGCGTCACGTGGGATGCCAGGGTAGAGGAGGGGGGGCAGTGGGGGATGTTGATTTCCAGCCTGTTCATTGGCCTAGTCGCATCACGTGGCGATAGAAAGAGCAGAGGGGGGTGGACGGGGGGGGGTTGTTGTTGAACTTGAGTCTCCTCATTGGCCGAGTCACGTCACGTGGTGGTATAGAGAGAGGGCGTTGAACGAGGGCGAGATGATATTGAACCTGAGCCTCATCATTGGCCAAGTTGCATCACGTGGATGTAGAGCGAGTGGGGGGGAGGTCAAGGCCCCCGAGTATTCCCATTGGTCGACAGCAACGCAGTGAGCGGTGGTGCAGTGGTTAGGGCAGTGAGTGTAGTAAATAATGTAGTGTAGTAGTGTATAGTGTATAATGTAGTGTATAGTGTAGTGTAGTAGTGTATAGTGTAGTAGTGTATAATGTAGTGTATAGTGTAGTGTAGTAGTGTATAGTGTAGTAGTGTATAATGTAGTGTATAGTGTAGTGTATAGTGTATAATGTAGTGTATAATGTAGTGTATAGTGTAGTGTAGTAGTGTATAGTGTATAATGTAGTGTATAGTGTATAATGTAGTGTATAATGTAGTGTAGTCGTGAATAATGTAGTGTATAATGTAGTGTATAATGTCGTGTAGTAGTGTATAGTGTAGTGTAGTAGTGTATAGTGTAGTGTAGTAGTGTATAATGTAATGTATGGTGTACAATGTAGTGTAGTAGTGTATAGTGTAGTGTAGTAGTGTATAATGTAGTGTAGTAGTGTATAATGTAGTGTATAGTGTAGTGTAGTAGTGTATAGTGTAGTGTAGTAGTGTATAATGTAGTGTATAGTGTAAAATGTAGTGTAGTAGTGTATAATGTAGTGTATAATGTAGTGTATAATGTCGTGTAGTAGTGTGTAGTGTAGTAGTGTATAGTGTAGTGTATAGTGTATAATGTAGTGTATAGCGTATAATGTAGTGTATAATGTAGTGTAGTAGTGTATAGTGTAGTGTATAGTGTATAATGTAGTGTATAGTGTATAATGTAGTGTAGTAGTGTATAGTGTATAATGTAGTGTATAATGTAGTATATAATGTCGTATAGTAGTGTATAGTGTAGTGTAGTAGTGTATAATGTAGTGTATAGTGTAGTGTATTTGTGTATAGCGTAGTGTAGTAGTGTATAGTGTAGTGTAGTGGTGTATAGTGTATAATGTAGTGTATAGTGTAGTGTAGAAGTGTATAATGTAGTTTATAGTGTAGTGTAGTAGTGTATTTGTGTATAGTGTAGTATAGGAGTGTATAATGTAGTGTAGTAGTGTATAATGTAGTGTACAGTGTAGTGTATTAGTGTATAATGAAGTGTAGTAGTGTATAATGTAGTGTAGTAGTGTATAGTGTAGTGTAGTAGTGTATAATGTAGTGTGGTAGTGTATAGTGTAGTGTATAGTGTAGTGTAGTAGTGTATAATGTAGTGTAGTATTGTATAATGTAGTGTAGTAGTTAATAATGTAGTGTAGTAGTGTATAATGTAGTATAGTAGTGTATAGTGTAGTGTAGTGGTGTATAATGTAGTGTATAGTGTACAATGTAGTGTAGTAGTGTATAGTGTAGTCTAGTAGTGTATAGTGTAGTGTAGTAGTGTATAATGTAGTGTAGTAGTGTATAATGTAGTGTAGTAGTGTATAGTGTAGTGTAGTAGTGTATAGTGTAGTGTAGTAGTGTATAATGTAGTGTATAGTGTATAATGTAGTGTAGTAGTGTATAGTGTAGTGTAGTAGTGTATAGTGTAGTAGTGTATAATGTAGTGTATAGTGTATAATGTAGTGTAGTAGTGTATAATATAGTGTAGTAGTGTATAATGTATAATGTAGTGTAGGAGTGTATAGTGTAGTGTAGTAGTATATAATGTAGTGTAGTAGTGTATAGTGTAGTGTAGTAATGTATTAGCGTATAATGTAGTGTGTAGTGTAGTAGTGTATAGTGTAGTGTAGTAGTGTATAATGTAGTGTAGTAGTGTATAATGTGGTGTAGTAGTGTATAATGTAGTGCAGTAGTGTATAATGTAGTGTAGTAGTGTATAGTATAGTGTATAATGTAGTGTAGTAGTATATAGTGTAGTATAGTAGTGTATAATGTAGTATAGTAGTGTATAATGTAGTGTAGTAGTGTATAGTATAGTGTATCATGTAGTGTAGTAGTGTATAGTGTAGTATAGTAGTGCATAATGTAGTATAGTAGTGTATAATGTAGTGTAGTAGTGTATAATGTAGTGTAGTAGTGTATAGTGTGGTGTAGTAGTGTGTAGGGTAGTATATAATGTAGTGTAGTAGTGTATAATGTAGTGTAGTAGTGTATAATGTAGTAGTGTGTAGTGTATTAGTATATAATGTAGTGTAGTAGTGTATAGTGTAGTAGTGTATAATGTAGTGTGGTAGTGTATAATGTAGTGTAGCAGTGTATAATGTAGTGTAGTAGTGTATAATGTAGTGTAGTAGTGTATAATGTAGTGTGGCAGTGTATAATGTAGTAGTGTTGTAGTGTATTAGTATGTATATGATGTATATATAGTATAAAGTGTAAGTTTATAAATAACTAAGACCCTCTCAAGGTATAAATAAGCAGAGGGTGGAGTCACTGACAGCTGGAGACCGCTGAACACAAATAGACCCCCTAGATCACTACCCCCTAGATCACTACCCCCTAGATCACTACCCCCTAGATCACTACCCCCTAGATCACTACCCCCTAGATCACTACCCCCTAGTCCCCTACCCCTTAGATCACTACCCCTAGATCACTACCCCCTAGATCACTACCCCCTAGATCACTACCCCCTAGTCCCCTACCCCTTAGATCACTACCCCCTAGATCACTACCCCCTAGTCCCCTACCCCCTAGATCACTACCCCCTAGATCACTACCCCCTAGATCACTACCACCTAGATCACTACCCCCTAGTCCCCTACCCCCTAGATCACTACCCCCTAGATCACTACCCCCTAGATCACTACCCCCTAGATCACTACCCCCTAGATCACCACCCCCTAGATCACTACCCCCTAGATCACTACCCCCTAGTCCCCTACCCCTTAGATCACTACCCCCTAGATCACTACCCCCTAGTCCCCTACCCCCTAGATCACTACCCCCTAGATCACTACCCCCTAGATCACTACCCCCTAGATCACTACCCCCTAGATCACTACCCCCTAGATCACTACCCCCTAGATCACTACACCCTAGTCCCCTACCCCCTAGATCACTACCCCCTAGATCACTACCCCCTAGTCCCCTACCCCTTAGATCACTACCCCCTAGATCACTACCCCCTAGTCCCCTACCCCCTAGATCACTACCCCCTAGATCACTACCCCCTAGATCACTACCCCCTAGATCACTACCCCTAGATCACTACACCCTAGATCACTACACCCTAGTCCCCTACCCCCTAGATCACTACCCCCTAGATCACTACCCCTAGTCCCCTACCCCCTAGATCACTACCCCCTAGATCACTTCCCCTAGATCACTACCCCCTAGATCACTACCCCCTAGTCCCCTACCCCCTAGATCACTACCCCCTAGATCACTACCCCCTAGATCACGACCCCCTAGATCACTACCCCCTAGATCACTACCCCCTAGATCACTACCCCCTAGATCACTACCCCCTAGATCACTACCCCCTAGATCACTACCCCCTAGTCCCCTACCCCCTAGATCACTACCCCCTAGATCACTACCCCCTAGTCCCCTACCCCCTAGATCACTACCCCCTAGATCACTACCCCTAGATCACTACCCCCTAGATCACTACCCCCTAGATCACTACCCCCTAGTCCCCTACCCCTTAGATCACTACCCCCTAGATCACGACCCCCTAGATCACTACCCCCTAGATCACTACCCCCTAGATCACTACCCCCTAGATCACCACCCCCTAGATCACCACCCCCTAGATCACTACCCCCTAGTCCCCTACCCCTTAGATCACTACCCCCTAGATCACTACCCCCTAGTCCCCTACCCCCTAGATCACTACCCCCTAGATCACTACCCCCTAGATCACTACCCCCTAGTCCCCTACCCCTTAGATCACTACCCCCTAGATCACTACCCCCTAGTCCCCTACCCCCTAGATCACTACCCCCTAGATCACTACCCCCTAGATCACTTCCCCCTAGATCACTACCCCCTAGATCACTACACCCTAGTCCCCTACCCCCTAGATCACTACCCCCTAGATCACTACCCCTAGTCCCCTACCCCCTAGATCACTACCCCCTAGATCACTTCCCCTAGATCACTACCCCCTAGATCACTACCCCCTAGTCCCCAACCCCCTAGATCACTACCCCCTAGATCACTACCCCCTAGATCACGACCCCCTAGATCAATACCCCCTAGATCACTACCCCCTAGATCACTACCCCCTAGATCACCACCCCCTAGATCACCACCCCCTAGATCACTACCCCCTAGTCCCCTACCCCTTAGATCACTACCCCCTAGATCACTACCCCCTAGTCCCCTACCCCCTAGATCACTACCCCCTAGATCACTACCCCCTAGATCACTACCCCCTAGATCACTACCCCCTAGATCACTACACCCTAGTTCCCTACCCCCTAGATCACTACCCCCTAGATCACTACCCCTAGTCCCCTACCCCCTAGATCACTACCCCCTAGATCACTACCCCCTAGATCACTACCCCCTAGATCACTACCCCCTAGTCCCCTACCCCCTA